CCACGGCCGACTTCCGCACTGCCAAGTACTGGCCCGCCGAGTGGCACCAGAGGAACTCATATCTGTACCACAAGGCCTTCACCGGCTGCGAGCAGGCTGAGCGTGGCCGGGCCGAGGCCAAGGAGCTGGCCGAACATGCCGCTGCCACCGCCCAGCACGCCCAGCAGGACTCCACATCCGCCCTGGGCCAGCGCCTGCAGGACATACACTTCTGGAAGGCTGAGCTCCAGAAGGAGATAGAGGACCTAGATGCCGAGACTGGCCTGCTGGCAGCCCAGAAGCTGCGGCTGGAAAGGGCACTCGATGCCACCGAGGTGCCCTATGCCATTGCCACCGATAACCTGCACTGTCGGGAAAGGAGGCAACCCCCAGATCTCGTCAGTGATGAGGTGGAGAGGGAGTTGCTGAAGGTAAGGATGATGTTAGGTCGTTAAAAGTTGTTGGCAGCCCTCTCTTAGTTCTGCTTTGGTCTCTAAAATGATGAACAGCTTGGTCAGTAGGTGATAAATGCAGCTCATGAAGGTATCTTCTGGCAATGCACAGAGGCCTAATGCCCTTTCCTGGCAGCCTGGACTCTCTCTGACACTCCTAGGTTTAAGAAGGATTATTTAAAATCCTTCTTCTGTTTAAAAGGTATTTAAAATCACATAAGTATGACTAGAGGAGACCAGATCCCCCTTCTCAGACCAGATCCAAACAAAATAAACACACAGGTTTCTTGAACCAAGGTGGGCATCCTATTCTGGCATTAAACTTCTTCCAGCCTCCACTTGGCTTAAAGTCCCCTCATCTCTGCAGGTTACACTTTAAAAATCCAGTACCCAATAAGCAGACTATTCAGGACCAGTGCAATGCTCCTTGCCTGTTTCCATGCTCAAGCTGTCCAAATCTGGCAGTCTCTGACATTACCTTTTACAGCTGAGTCGGATGGCATAGTCGTGCCAAGGTTCGTGATGAGGTGGTGATCCAATGCTGTACTACAGTGTCTCAACACAAACCATCATTTTAAACATCCTGCAGGACAGCACAACGAACAGTACAACGTAGTCATGTGACACCTGCACGAGATGATAGCTTCAGGCAAGAGGGGAGACACAGACAGATGGTATTTCTGACAGTGTGACTTCAACAAACCTGAGACTCTCTAGAAATTTGCTTGCTCCTTTTCCTCCCATAGAGGACTCTTTACTCCAGCTGACACACTGTGATCTGTCACTGAGATCCAACACTGCATGTAGATTAACTTCAAAGCTGATGTAATTATTTTGGCTGCACATGTTACAGAGAACAGATTCTGGGTCATTTTTCATTCTGGAATGATACATGTTCTAGTATCCCACAAATAAATTAGTGATTACTTGCTTGCAGCCTCAAATATACTGTGAAAGTTGATTCATGATGAGTTACTGATGATTAATATTTGTTATTAGAAAAATATTGAAGAGAGTTACATAGTTGATGGCGTGACAGGATTTAGCATGACAGGATTTAGCAACAATTTGAATAGGAATTCTGTACAATAGCTGAATTGTAACCAATATTTGAGAGGATGTGTGTAGGATATTTCAGTATGTGTAGGATATTTCAGTGTGTATAGGATATTTCAGTGTGTGAATTGTTACAAAATTCAGATTACAGAAAATAATTTATTTTCATCAGCTGCTGATGTTTTTGAGAAATTGTGAAATGTAAGATTTACCAAAAAAAAAAAATTTCTGGCAGGATTCCTCTCCTGTATTTCTTTCTTCCTGATCTCAGAGAATAGTTTGCTCATTGCTCAGAAGTCCATCTGTTGCTGCTGCTGCTAATTCTTCACCTGAAATTGTGATTGTGTGCTTGTGACGACAGATCGTCAACAGCCAAGTAGGATGTCATCAAAAAAGAATTATGTGAGTTCAGATGAGGCGTGTATACCAGCAGCAGATGGACTCTTGAGAAATGAAGATTTTGTTGCCATGCCAATGACCTTTGCCGTGCAGAAGGAAGAAGAGTACATAATATCAGAGGAAATCCTTCCCATTTGCACAGAGGAATAGATTTTATGGCACGAATATTTGCAAACTATGTTAAAATGTGCCCTCTGTGGCTTTGCCAGCTCTTTAAGCTGCAGCTGTACTC